CGTAATCTGCTTTCATTTCTTCTGCTCTTTTATAATCATCATCTGTAAATTGCTCAGCTCCATAGTTGGGTGCAAGTATGGCAGCTAGTGTGGAACCTAGGACAGACTACTTAAATAGATAACCAAAAGTTGCATGTATGGCTAGTTGTACTCTTGTTAGTTAAATAATCAAAGAGCTTAAATAGGTAATCTCCTAGTTAGGTTGCAGGCATAGTGGCTAGTATAAAACCCAGGCGGACTACTTAAATTAGGTACCAAAAGTACATGTGTGGCTAGTTGTATTTTTGTGAAATTGATGTATTATCATAATTATCTAAATAAAGCTAAGTGCCGAGGAACCTAAATGATCACCTTAATATAAAAAAAAAAATATGGCCTATATATCAAAAAATTTTAATAGTGCTATTGTCAAGTTTAATAGATTAGCCAACTCAAATTCTATTCGAATTGGATATGAATTACATATTATAAATATAGTTTTTACCAATTTTAAAAATGAGGCTTTTGAATATATATCAGAGTTTTCTAGAAAATCTCATCTGTTTAATCTTTTACATCTTGCCTAGTACCTTTATAATAGTTATAAAAATAGCAATAGCAGTGCTTCAATAAATATCAAGTCTAAATATATTGAAAATTTTTACAAAGCCTTGTTTGGATACTGCTATTTATAGTATTAAATGCCTTTACAAACTTGCTAGAGATATGAATTGCATATGGCAAAACAGTATTTAGAGAGGAAAGAATCACATTTTCAATTTGCAAAATGGTTTATTAAAACATTAGAATTCTATCCCAATGTGACTTTATTATATTTAAGTGATTAGCATCTATTTTATTCTTGGCTAAATAATAAAAAATTAAACATTCAATTAAAATGTTTGGTAAAATTTGGTAATCACTTTTTTAATTCTTTAATAGAATTCATTGTTAGTCAAGATACCACTCTATGAATATTTAATAGTGAAAGCTAGATTAATTTACCTCCTAGACAACATGCTCATAAAATGTCTAATAAAGTTCAAGAATAGTTAGATTTTCTTATATAGATGCTGTAAATACTATAACTTTGATATATTTTTTTTAGAAGAATTACTTGAGATACTAGGATTGTTAAATGAGATAAAGTTTGAAGAGATATTTGATTCATTAGAAAAGAGAATGAAAAAAACACTATTATATTTTGAAAAATGGATAGTTCAATGGCTAAAATTACCTTTGTCAGTTTGTTATTTAGAAAAAAATTATACACAATTGTTTGCTAAAAGTTATTGGTATGTTGTTTTGAATATTCCAACAATTTTTAAGCCATCTAAGCAAGAAACAATATATATATGCCAACTCAAAAATAATTTGAAAAAAAATCTTTCAAATGATTTTGAACTAAAAACACTCTATACTTTAAATTCAAACTTTTATGAACAATTTAATGATTTTTGATATGCATCAAATCCTGAATTATCTAACTATCCACTATACTTTATGAGTTTATTACTACAAAAATTTATTACATAATTTTACATCAGCAACAAGTTGAGGGTATGTTCAACAAACTGGATTTAAAAACTCACCCGAACATGATAGTAGATTTTAAAGAATCTAAATTACGTCTTTCTAAAACAAAATTTTCAAAAGAAGATGTTAGAGATAGAATTGTTGGTATTAGGCAAAGTAAAAAGAAAGAAAAAAAAAAACTGAGGTGGCTAGCTTTGGTGTACAAAGTGCGTTGACAAAATTCAATCAAATTTTTAGTACAAGCTGTTAGCATTACATACAGTATATCTATATCTTATCTTTATATTGATTATCTATATAAGTTATTAATACAAATAAAATTAGCCAATTATATTGTTTAAAAATCTGCACTATGATTTAGGGTCTACATATAGGTTTGATTTATTTAGTTGACCGACCACCCCAACACGTACGTACATGTACATAAAACTTTCTCGTGTGCTGCCATTAAAAAGATTCATTTTTTCTGTGCAACAATTCAAAAATTAATTACGTCATTGAACTAAGGCACAAAATTCGACATTTTCAAATGAATCCAGAAATATGGTCAGTAGAGGAAGTTTGCGATTGGCTTCGCCAAGAAAACTTTGAAAGACTAAGAGAGATATTCAAAGGTATGTACAGACGCGCACTGTTAGAGAATACGCGTTAATGAACTCTTAAGCGCAACGCGACTATTTTTTTTATTACACTTACAATCACATTAAAAGAAATTATGCATTTGCATTGATTGCACAATTATTTCTTATAGAAAATAATGTAGACGGCAAAAGTTTAATGAAGATCGACATAGAGAAGTTACGTCGATTTGATGTGCCTTCTAAAGATCATTATGTTTTTCTGAACACAAGAGAACTGCTTAGATCTAAAGCAATTCAAGGGGGTAAGAATACATCGTGTAGTATATTTTCATTATTAGATAACATTCCAAGACTTAATTTTATTAATAAGTTAGAAATAAGATGCTAGTTTATTTAGAATATTTTCTCTAACAATTTTGTTTATTTTGTTTATCTAGACAATCCACACCCTCCGATTGCTCGTTTAATTCTCCCACCGGATCCATCAACTTTGTTACCGTTTGGATCTCAAAAAGAACTAGTCGATCCTGAGGATGGTACCGACATTAGCATTAGTAATGACGAAATGTTCGAAAGTGATGAAAAGTCTGGCGACGAAGTGAGTTCAATGGATTTAGATGATGACGAAGGTTTAAATGATGAAGGAGGTCTAGATGAAGACTATGATTCAAATTTAAGTGAAGATCTAGTTGACAGAGTAGATTCTTTCATACACTTGGATGAAGAACCATTATCTCGTTTTCGTGCTGCACCATATGGAGCTGAGCAATTTACAGATGATGATTATAAAAGAGCAGAAGAAATGAAAGCAGATTACGGATATCTTAGACATTGGATGAATATGGAAGATGATGAATTGCTTCCAGTAAATTTCCAATTTTTATATACATTATGAGAATCATTTTATAAATGAATTTGTATGTAACCTTCCGTTTCGCTCTTCAACAAAGGTATACGGTGAAAGTGATGAAGAGAACAATTACATTTCTAGCGATCTCGAAGAAGAAGTAATGGAAGAGGAAGATGATATCAAACAGAAAGGGGAGCAAAGCCTCTTTATTATGAGAAATGTTGATGATAAGGAGCCAGAAGTTGTAACATCTGACAACTTAGTGGAGCCTCAAGTTGATCACGCAGATCAAATGATTCTTGATTATATTTGTAGTTTTCGGAAAATATGGGAAGATGGAGAGTAAGTATCAATATCCACCAATACTTTACATATAATTAATAACGTTTTTTTACTATAAAAATTACCATGTGCAGATTACAGAAAATAGAAACATTACGCTACAAATATTGGAGGAAATTATTCCCACGAAAACAACAGCGGGAACCCCAAAAAGTTATCGATGAATTGACAGAACAACTACGCAATTTAAATATATAAGCTCTACCAAAATCTACTTATACTCTTTTTCTAATAATTCTAACCCTAAACCCTAACTTAACTATTAAAAAAAAAACCTAACAAAAAAGGCCCAAAAATTTTTTAAAAATCGTACATAAAATAAGTTAAATTTCATTATGATCTGCCACAATTAACAATGAACAATTTTTTATGTCATAGAGATATCAAAGATACCCGGAAATTTTTACAAGGTGGTAAAGAAAGACAGTTTTGAAACTTTGTTCAACGCATATCTTAATACTAATCCTCAGTTTGAGCACAACATTTGTAATGTAACAACATTCATGTTGGAAACTACTATTAAATACGAAATTTATTACAAGAATTGTAAATCTAAGAATCTTTTATATATCTAAAAATTGTTTAATAATTATTGGGAAAGATGTGTGTAATCTATGCGAGAGCAAATCTCTGCGCAGAACGATCAAATAAACTCGTTTTAAGGTCAAGGTCTTGTAAAAATACATGATTAGGTGCAACTTCTTTGAGTTGTCTATGTTAACGTAATTTAGATAATGAATGAGTTTATAATCGAATTTTAAGGACCGTTAAAATGTAAGATATTTAGGAATCAAAGAACTTACGTAATATACCGATTAACAACTTCTGTAGGTTTCCCTATTAAATTAGATACTACAATCAGATTGACAAGGGTATCCGGGTCACTGTTATTCTGTAAAGTCGATTTGCGAAAATAGGTAACGTAATCAGATTTAGTCATAATGTTTACAAGCAAGCAAAATTAATCATTAATGTACTTTATTTAGCGCTTCCAACAATAAGCTCTCAGCTTCTGGGTATCTACCAAGATGAATATTGCATACTGCTTGTCCATTCAATACTTTAACCGTGTTGGATGATGGTGACTGAGCAATTTCTTCATAAATATAGTACGCTTCTTGATATTTGTCACCACCCTTAATAAAGGTTGAATGAAAGAATTATTAAGCTTGAAATTAATTTAAATAAAGTTTAAAAAACTTACAGTTCTCAATCCAACCCATGCTTCTATTAATTGGGCAAGCATTGCATCTTCTGCCCAGGTTTTTGTTGCTGCGAGCTCTCTTTTTGCAAGATCTAAGCGATCTAACTGTAGATATATTTGGATTATCAACGCAACACTATGATATCGTCACAAATAATTACAAAGATTTTCATTGTAAAAAATAAAATCACATTATAATGTCAAAGAATGTTACCATTCTAAATTCCTATTATGTCGAACTAAAATCTTCAATGCATCTTCAAATAAACCTTCATGATAATAAATCATACCAGCAACAATCTGAACAGTTGCATTCGACACATTTGCGGTATCACCCACTATCTCTTTAAGTTCTTTAAGAACTTCCTCTTTTTTTGTTTCGGAAGCTTGACCACCACTTTTAGACTGCAAGTATACAGCCAAAATCTTAACCACGCGCAAGTCTATCGGATCAGAATCTTTTATCTCTGAAATAACAATATTATGCTTGCCTTGTGCTATGTAGGCACGATACAAGTATATCTTGCGCTCTAACTTTGCGCTTTCTGAAACAGATGTACGACTACTACCCTCATTTATCACCTGTTGAAAGGATCCTGATTGTAAGTTGTAAAAAAAAAAATTATTTTGTATTATTTGTATACAAGTATGAATTTTAAGAGTTAAACATTACCTGTATAGAAAAGATTACGCAAACCGAATAATTCATCCATTTTTCTGGTAAGTCTCTGTCGAAAATTTTGATCATATATCAGGAACGATGATTTGCCGCACAAAAAATGCGCGGATGATCCTCGATTTTGATTGGCTAACGGCCGGTGATCTTCGAAATTTTGGCCCGCA